TGATATGCTGCTCACTTTTTAGTACTTACCTGATTTGACTTTGTACTTTTAATTGCTACTATTTCCCAATTTTCTTTAAAAAAGTATCTCCTTCTCTAACTTCTAACCATTGGCTGCTTATCCATTCTATCCATTCTAACCATTGGCTGCCTCTCTTTGTAGATCTGCCCCTACACTGTTGATGTTGTGTTGTATCCGTTATCCTCTTTTCACAAATTCTGTATTTTTTCTGTGTGACCATCTGTATTCTGAACCTGTGAGCTAGCCCTACAAAATAGAGCCAATCCTACTGAACTTCAGGCTTTAATTTACTGCTTATATTAGATATATTTAAGAACCATGTTTCAAAAGAGTCTTCAAACCAACTCGTCTTCATTAGTTTCCTAACATGAGGTTTTCCTATAATTTCTATGTAATGTAATGGTATTTTAAACTATAAATCAATCAAGTCAGATATCTTGGTTATATTCAACTATTACTATTTACCCATCTTCCTAATCTCTTACACAATTGGTTGCCACAGTCTTTAAATTCTACCATTTAAATCTCTTTTGAAAAAATAATCTAGTCTCCATGGCACAGAGGAATCCAGCATGGCCAACTATGGTCTGAATTCCAGCCCTGGAGGCTTAAAAAATACACTGGGTATTGTTATATTTGTTCATACATACTCAAACTCCTTATGGGAAGGAGGAATGGTGAAAACGCGATTGCAGCATGACCATGTCTGCTGGGGGTGAGGAGGGGTGCTTCCTCTCTCTCTCTTTCTCTCTCTCTCTGTCTCTCTGGAAATACTGAAAAGCATTCTAAGTTTTTTTTAATTTTTCTAATTATAAAAGTAATTCATAAGAAATTAAGACAACATGAAAAATTATCAAAGAATAACTGGTATATCATATACTATGCAGAAATGATCGCTGTTTACTTTTTAGTATATTTCTTTTCAATTTGTAATAAGACTTATTTGATCCATGTGTTACTTGGAAGTGTACTGTTTGGTCTCCAAATATTTTGGGATTTTCCTGTTATTGGTCAAATCTTTCTGTTATTGATTTCTAATTTAATTTCATTGTGGTCTGCGAGCATACTTGGCATAATTTCATTCTTTTACATTTGTTAAGATTTACATTTGGTCCAGAAGGTGATAAATCTTGGTGAATGTTCCACAAGAACTTGAGAAGAATGTGTATTCTACTGTTGTCGAGTGAAATCCTCTATAAATATCCATTAGATCCAATTTACTGACAGGACTGTTCTGCTTGACCATATTCTTACTGATTTTCTGTCTATTGATGTATCAGTGACTGGAAGAGAGGTGTTGAAGTCTCTAGCTATAATAGTGGGTCTATGTATTTCTCTTTATAATTTTATCAGTTATTTTTAATGGGGTTTAAAGCAGTTTCAGGTTCACAACAGAGATGGTTAGAAGGTACAGGGATTTCTCAGTTCTATCATTTTTTGCCTCACATATTCTGGTGGTCTATTTTGAGGTACATACATGTAATTGATGATTATATCTTCTGAGAGAATTGATGTCTTTATAATGGGTAGCGCAATTACCTTATAACAGAGCATTTCCAATTTCTCCTGTTCTTTACAATTTTGCTGCCATTCATATCACTTGACCACATGCTATAGACTCACAATGTGTTGTTATTATTATTTTAAATATTTATCAACTAAGAATAATAAAAATAGGGGCTGGCAGATGGCATGGTGGTTGGGGTGCTGGACTTCCTTCCACATGGCTGACCATGGTTCTGGTCCCAGACCTGTTGGCTTGCTTTCTCACTTTCCCTTTCTCTCTATGTCTCTCTCTGGCCAAATAAATAATAATAATAATTAATAAAATAAAATAAATAAATAACTCTTTTTAGCAAAAAATAAAAATAAAATACTTTATTTTATTTTCATTCATTTACTTTCATTTATTTCTCCGATGATGCCTTTCCTTTCTTTATGTAGATCTGAGTTTCTGACCTATATAATTTTCCTTCTGCCTAAAAACTTCTTTTAACATTTTTTACAGGCTGGTTTGGTGGTTATGAGTTCCTCAGCTTTTCTTTATCTAAAAAAAAGGCTTTATCTTTCATTTTTAAAGGATAATTTATTAGATCTAGAATCCTAGGTTAGTGGGTGTTTTCTTTTAACCCTTTAAATATTTTACTTCACACACATTACTTTCATTATTTCTGAAGAGAAGACCAGTTTGAAATTCTTAAACTTTTTTCTCTTTCACTATGGATTTGCCCACCCCCACTAACTTCCATCATCCAGTTTCTTCTATTAAAATTTTTTTTTTTTCCTTTTTTTTTTTTTTTTTTTTTTTGCAGTTTGAATACGATATGTCTAAGGATAGGTTTTTGGCATTTATTTTGATTCATTTTATTGAACTTCCTGGATCTGTGGTTGGGTGACTTTAGTTAATTGTGGAATGTTCTTGGCTATTACTATTTCAGATATTTCTTCTGCTCCATTTTGCCTTATTCTCTTTCTTGTATTCCATTTGTATATATATATATTTTTTTTTTTTTTTTG